AGTCATGTAATGCCTGCTTCCTGGTGATCTTTGAGGGTTGGTAAGAGTTCTTCTACTTTACCACAATGTGTGGGCCTCAACTTCTGAACCTACATTGCTCAGGCAATGAGGCGATGAAGGTAAATAAAAAGGAAGAGGTCAGACTGGGGAAGGAAGGAGGACCTAGGATTTAAGAAAAAAGATAAGTCCAAGCACACTGGTGGAGGATGAATAGATGTCCCAAAAGGGCCTGCAGCTTCTCTCCATCCAGCTTTTACTAGTCAACCATAGCCTTTCCAGGTTTCTAGATGGAGGTAAGAACAATAACGAAGCAAGAGTAAGAGAAAGTGTGAATGGCGGAGCCCAGAAAACTAGTTACCTTGATTTTTCTCCATTGAAGGAAACCCTGAAAGATCACCAATGTCCAGGATAAAAGGGAGCTGGAAATGAAATAGCAGCCTCTGTGAAGGGGGGAAAATGTTTAACTGGGAGATGGGGAAGTCGAAGGAAGTTGTAAAGAACAGAATCCTGGAGAGATGGGTGGTGAAAGAGCCAGTCCTCTTGTAATCCTGTTGGAAATAGAAATAGACAAATGCTAGAGAAAAGAGGAAGATTGGCTTAAGCGTTGCTCTTGAGAGACTAAAAGCTAAAAACAGTTTGCTTCTCAAATTCGATAAAGATAGGTTTGGGGATGCCTTTTAAGGCAAAGCCATTTCTATTATTTTACTCCATCTTTGGGGTGATCATTCCATTGGGAGGGGGGAGAGAGAGAGGAGAGAGGGGGGGAGAAAGGAAGAGAGAGATTGGAAGGAGGGGGAGGGGAGAGGACGGGAGAGAAAGAGGAAGAACAACTTGAAGGATTTTTTTTTTCTTGCTTGCTTGCTTGAGTGCATTTAAATGAGCGTGCGTCTGTAGCTTTTTAAACATCGAATCAAGCCCTTTATTCAAGGAAAGCCTCTTTTAATTAGCTTTAGAAGCCAGCAAAGGCGTCTAATGAAGTGGGTTTATTTAGCTTGTTCATAATTTAAGTGAGGAGCAATCCAAATTGTTTATCACCAAAGTGAAGAGTTCACATTGCACCGCAGGCATGGAAAAACTAAAGGGAGGAAGGAAACCGTGTTGGTTTTCCAGGAAAAAATGCCTGCACCGTCATGAACAATATCATATATTTTTTAAGGTGGGGGTCACAAACGCTTAGGAAAACCATTTGATACAATCTGCTGTTCCTTTCACGTCTTCTCTTGCCCCACTCGGGGAGAAGATAATTTTGCTGGGGACAAAGCATACTTGGGTTGCAATTCTGTTTGACCCACTGAAGTAAACGACTCACTTCAGAGCACAGATACATATCACCGGGTCTAGTTATTACATACAATGACTCTTCCTCTATCCACATTTATTCCCTTAAAAAATGATAATAAAGGATTTTAATTTGTTGATGTTAAAGAAAATTGTTTGTGGGAAAAAAATATTTGAAGCCTTTTTCAGAATATATTTTAAACATATTTCAAAATGTACCCAACCTCTGTATGGTGTCTCCATGATCAGTACAATTGCCGTTGTTGTTTTTGTTGTGAAAGTATTTTAAGGTCTTTTTTTTCCTTCCTTCTGATTATGGAAATGAATAATGACTAAGATACAGATTCAACGCTTTAATTTTCCGTTCATTCAGTTTACTGCAAAATTTAACTTGCTTAAACTTTAAACTCCCTGCGTGTACACATCCACGTGCACCCCACAAAACTGTCCAATAAGTTGCATTCAGAGCATTTAGTCTAGAGCATCTTACTTTTTTCCCCCTTTTGAATTTCCGTGTGCTTTACTTACAAAGGAAACAGTTTTTATTGTGTTTTAAGTCAATGTGGGCACTTCCCTTAAGGGGGGGGGGGGAAACCCTGAATATTTAAAATCCCAACCATTCCAAGGGAAGCAATGCCTAAAACCTTTCCTAATGAAACCATTGGGGGCTCTAAAGCCACCCTTCTTGTGTTGCCTGCGAGGAAACTAGACAATCGTATGAGCAACTCACAGCATTGTGATTTCAAACGTGAGCCGGATTAGGTGCTAGTCAGTTTCCCCGATCTTGTACATTTCCTTGACCACTGGTGGTGCATCTTAGCGGGAGCCTCCAATCTCGGGAGAATCCTAGTACAGACCAAGGGCAACGGCAACTTGATCTTCGAGGAGAGGTTTCGCATGGGGTGGGGTGGGGGTGGGGGAACCGACCCAGCGTTATTATTTATTCCTGAAGTCCCAATTAACACAGAAAGGAGGAGAACAGCGAGGGGAGAGGATGGATCGCAGGGAGGCAGGCTACCTCTCGGGCACAATGTCAACGCGCCCACCGCTCTGTCGCTGAGTCATTGTCAGGGTCGGCGGTGACAAGAGCTGAAAATGAGGTGGGCGTTTCCGGACCCTTTTGTGAAAACGCGGCCAAGGTCAAGATGATTTTAACTCGAATTTATTAGCAGACTTTGGGAAGGGGGGGGAGAGAGAGAGAGAAGGAGAGAGGAGGGAAGAGGGCCAGAGCCCGCGAAGCAGCAGCAAACCCCTTCCTTAATTAGCAAAGCCTAAATAATATGTACCCGCGGGCTGTTCCCTTGCTTTTTCCTCCTTCCTTCCTCACCCCCCCCCCCGCACACACCTCATCTCGCCTTCGCCTCCTTCTTCCTCCTTTGGAGAACAAAAACCCACTCTAGCAAAAAAGGAAAGGAAAGAGCGGGGGGGGGGGGAGAGCAATCCACAAACCTCAGAGGAGGTGATAATACCGGACTGGAGTTATGAATGTTTTATAGGTAATTGCGGTATATCTTTCGAAGATATACCGTTCAAGGCTTGGTGAAAAGGAAGCCCGTTTTCAGCGCTTTCCTTCGGTTTCCGAGGGCTGTTGGTTTATCAGGGTTTAGCAGCCCCAGCCTGGGCCTGACCCGGGAGAAGCAGAACTGCCCCGTTCCATCTTTCACCCGTTCTCACCCCCCCCCCCAGCCCCGCCAGTCCTAGCTCCAGATTCGCTTTTGCATTGATTTCTGGCTTTTCCCTTTCTCTCTCTCTTTTTTTTTCCCTTTGCACCTAAGAGCCAGACGCTACCAAGAGCCTCCCCCCCCCCCCCAGCCCCCCGATCCCAGCAAAGGATTAAAAACGGCCTCCCGCTCCTTAGAAAGAGCGGGCTTGAAAAACAGCTCGACCCGAGCTGACCGACGCCAAGCCAAACCGTGTCCTCGAGCAGGGAGGGGACGGTTCCCCTGGGTGGGAGTCAAAAAGAGATCAAAGCAGACACCACCACCCCCCCAGCTGCACATGCACTCACGCACAGACACACACACACACACACAGAGAGAGGAGAGAGAGACACACACACACACACAGAGAGAGAGGAG